TCGACTCTGGTTATAACGAACTTGTTTGTACCGAAACCTCGCTATACCGAATCATAATTTCCAGAACCGATTTTTTATAAATAATTTCACTGGATATAACGAACTTTTATAATAAAACACTATATAATGCATCTGAACCAAACTTAACCAGCCCCTATATATCAGCTATATAATAACTTTATACTTTTTATAACGAACGGTCATGTGACTATATAGTAGTTCAGGCCAATTTTATAGTGCTGGCCAGAATTACTAGTAATTTTTTCAAAAATTTATGTTAAAAGAAATTATAATTTTGGCCAGCATTACAAATTTGGCCTAAATTACCTATAAAGAAAACTAGTTTGGTATATTATATAACGAATTCACTATATACTGAACTAAACCTCCTAGAACGGAAGGTTCATTATATCCAGAGTTGACTGTATATATATAAGATTAGCCAAATTTAGGCTAAAAACACGTAAACTAATTTTTTACATATAAAAATTTTGATAAAAAATATGCAATCTTGATGATCTAACTATAGATGAAAATTCTAAAATTGTATGCAAATTATAACTTTACTTCATCTAATTTCACTATGATGGTGACGTATCTGTATACCCTACATACCCCTGTATATATATTTCTGGGTTCTTTTATAGTGATTTATTTATTTCTTTAGTAATCAAAAACAAAGAAAAAAAAAGCCAAAATGCTTGAAATGTTAATTTGCTAAACCAGTTCAGTTTAAGTTCATCAGTTTAATACAGCTTTAAGTTTAAGCTTTTTTGAAAAAATAAGCTTTCAAGCGATTGAACTTATTATATTAGTTAAACACAAATATATTATATAGTTAGACTAGATTTATATAAGCGAGTTTGTAAGCCTGCTTATCTATTTCATTATATAATAAATCTTAATCAGATTATATTGGAGCTTGAGATTTATTTTTATTTATATTTGATTTTTTATATCTATATTATTTAAATACATATTTGCTAAAGTTTTATTGATTTTTCAAATAATTTTTAATAATATTTGTTTCATACCAAATTTTAAGGCAGAGGCTTGCACAGGACCCTGCTTACTTATAAGATAGGTTACCCCCAGGCCTAAGGTAAAAATCATATATAAAATTCTTTGCAGATCCTACTATAAAAGGAAATTTTATATTACATTGTTATGATTTTTTTCTTTTTTAGCTAATTAACCAATAGAATTTAAGAAAAAAGTAAGGTAAAAACTAGTAGTAAAGAGCCAATTTTCTATGGTGACCTTTATTATAAGTAAGCAGGGTCCTGCTTGCATGAACATTTTCTGTTGATAACCAGTTTCAGATTGGACTAATTGTATGAGGACCCAGAAATATATATATAGGGGTCAGGTGATGAAAAAAATTTTTTACTATGAGCTATACACATTTTTTCAGGGCTGAAATTATGATAATGTCAGTCGGTTACTATAATAGGAAATAAAATTCTGACTGAAATTATCAAAAATTATCTAAAAAAGGAAAGATTTTCATGATTTTTTTAGTTCAAAATACGCAAACTCAAACCTGACTCTTTTATATATATTTCTGGATCCTATTGTATGTTTGGCGACTGAAAAAATTTGCTCATTAAGAATATTTTTTGTGGCAAAGGTTACAAGATTGTTATTATCAATATCATCAACAAAGTTCCAAATAAAATTAATTTTTTGCCGTTTTGACAGGATCTTGCTTACTTATAAGATAGGTCACCCCAAGCCTAAGGTAAAAATCATATATAAAATTCTTTGCAGATTCTACTATAAAAGGAAATTTTATGTTACATTATTATGATTTTTTTCTTTTTTAGCTAATTAACTAATAGAATTTAAGAAAAAAGTAAGGTAAAAACTATTAGTAAAGGGCCAATTTTCTACAGTGACCTTTATTATAAATAAGTAAGTAGGGTCCTGTTTTGACATATGTTTTGTAATAGATTTGGATGAAGTTAATGCAATTTTATTTGTGTTATCAGGCGGCGTATCCAGTGTTTATTTTTCACTGTGCGGCATGTGCGTAGCGCACATGATCAGAATTTTGCGCACACCTTTTTTAGAAAAGATGTGCGGCATGCACACAAAAAATTTTGAAATATCCTTATATGATTGGGCGCATATGTATTACAGTGCCTATTATAGTAGTATAGCCATACCACTTTGCCGCACAGTAAGACTCAATAAATTGTGCGCTATCTGCACAGTAACTTTTTATCAAAAAATTAACACTGGGCGTATCATTATTTATTAATGTAACATTGTAATTATTATTTATTAAATTTATTTCTGTAAGATTTGTATTATCATCAGTAATAAGAAAAAATGCATTAGTATCATATTCTAAAATTTCATTGTCAGTCATTTGGATTTATTAGAAAAAATTATGATGAGTGAAACTAAAGTTATTTTGGTCAACTGCATTATATATACTTTTTTAAGTTTATACTAACAAAAGTATTAAGCAAGCTCAAAGCACGTTTAAAAGCATATTAAAGCTTATTGAAAAAAGCTTGTAATTAAACTCAGTTTAAATATGCTTTGTTGAAGCAATTTAACATTCCTATAAAACGCCCAAAATGTACCATTAACTAATAATAAATAAATGTCACGTAATGTATTGTACAGTTGTACTGTACAACTGTACATCATAATTTTTGCCAAACAAAATTTCGGCCAAAATTACAAAATCACGTAAAGGTGAAAAATCTTGGGGCAATGCTGAGAAAGATGATTTACCCAGTATCACCCCAAGATTTCTAAGTAAAATTCTGCCCACATAACCGATGATGTTTAAAGGAGTGTAAAAAAATATTTTTTTGCCACTAAAAATTTTCCAAATTCCCAGAATACTAACTAGCCTAGCATTATTCTAAAAAAAGCACTGGTCACATGACCATGTAAAAATCATTACATCCGTCACACTTCTTAGTGTTTCATTGTTTATATTTATCTGAGGGACTTAGTTTTTTTCAAGTTGATAAAAACTTATTCGTCACACATTATCTGTCCCACACTGTTCACGTGACTGTGCATAATTCCGCATAATGCCGGCCACAAGTGCTTTTTTTTTGGGATAACGCTAGGGTAGTTAATACTTATGAAAAAATGAAAACGGTGAGGTGTGACACGAGATGACATTTTATGCAGGTCACGTGGGGTCAAAAATCTTGGGAAGATCAATTAAATGTCACTCGTTCCTTATATGGTGATGACGATGTGATAATTAAAACAGATCACGTGATCGAAGAATTTGGATTGTTTATATGGTGCAGCTATAATTTAAAATCTTCACAAATTATCTAAATCGTACTTTATACTGCACAAAAAATTTATCTTCAATGCTTTGATTAATTATATTTATTTATAAGTGTAAAAATTTTACAAATCCTAATAAATATATTACATATTATCACTATTATTAGACTGACTCCACATTCCACGTCCAGCCTTACGCTGTTCTTCAGCTAATTTTTTAAACATATCCATTGTATTTTGTTCTTTTGATTGATATGCAATAGCCTTTTCCTGTAAACTTGCTGCTTTTTCCGCTTTATAAGATTGTTTTTGCTTTTCTCGTGCATCTCTTGCTCGTTTATGAGCTGCGAATCTGCGAAAATATATATTAAATTAATATTCGCACAGTGACATATATAAACTATGTAATTACCTCGATTGAAAATCATCGTCACCCATCAAATCCCTATCGTTTAATTCAACATCCGGACTTACTTCTCTTCGATGATATGCATTCTTGGCCCTCTTTTTTTCTATAATAGCTTCTCTCCCTATATAAGATAAAACGATACTTATTAGCTTAATAAACATTTAATTACCATAAATAACTAAACTTACCCGTTTCTCTTGGTACTAATTCATCAAGAGTGGCCTCATGCGTTTTTTTAAAATCTTTAAGTTCTTTCTTTTTCAACGCACGTTCATAACGTTCCCTATCTTCCTGATCCATTTCTACGGACTCGGAACAAGGTGAACATTTACAGTATATTTGATAATTATTTAAAAAAATTAGCGATGAACGAGATTTCAATGCAATTTAAATACGATCGCAACAATCTCACCTTCTTCATATCCACCCTTCGATAATGAAGGTGGCATTATCGGACCTAAAAGAAAGAAACATTGAATATTCAATATTACAAAAAAAAAACTTTGAATTTTATTACTTACCAATAGATCTTTTAGATGTTGTATCAATTTTGTTATTTCCAGATCTCATTTGAACTTCCATTGCAAAATTAGTATTAGTCTGTCTATCTACAGAATGTTTAATGGTATCAATTTCATCTTGATTAATTTTTAAATTTTTCCACTTGTATCGAGTCGTTTCTGAACTCGTTAATTGCGAAGAACGTATCCCATCATAATATTTTTCTAATATCAATAAGTGTGATTCGAGTTATTAACGCGAATAAAAATTTAAATGCTAAACGATGTTACTTACTATCCAATTTATGTTTATTCCAAGCACTAACAAATTTTTTAAAATAACGATGTGCCTGTTCAGAACTCAATTCATCAAAGAACTTATCTTTATCTTCCCTCAACCAAGTACGAAACTCTGTTGACTTTGAGAAATAATCATCTACAGAAATCGCTATTATAAACATAAGGAGTTAGCTAAATTCTTAAAATACGTACAAGCGTGTACGCACATTTAAAATCTTTCAGCGAAGAAACTTCTGACTCGGTATCTGAACGTTGACGTTTGTGACTCTTTTTTTTATGTTTCTTTTCTTTTCGAGAACTATATTCATGTTCGCTATCGTCTCTCGAATGAACACGATGACTCTTTGGACGAGGCGACGCAGATCGTGACAGATCGTAACCAAGATGGGAAGACATTTTAACAAGCTTTTACCTAAATAATTTGCAATCTCCCGAGTATTTATATAAACTGTTGGCATTATTGCACCAATCAAAAGTGATTATAATTATGACTAAAAAAAATTGTCGCATTCTCTCACGCTTAGATAATAAATCTTCATCTTATATCTTTTTTGAAGCTTATATAAAGGAAAATCAAGAACCCAGCCACATCTGAGCAACCAAAAATTTTTTATTTTTTTTATTTCCTTCATTTATTTCGGTTTATTTAAACTGAAAATTTTTTATTTTTTTTATTTTCTTCATTTATTTCGGTTAGCAACAATGTGCTGATTCCAATTCATTTTATAATAAATTGGGATATTATTCACGTTTCAATGAATAATGTACGGTGCTCTTGTAGGCCTTGTGTTTGGTTCGTCGCAGGTGTCGCACTGTCGCAGGTGCCGTAGCTCATACGACAATGCTTATCTCCTTATCTTTTTTCCCAGCAAGATATTAAGTGTGTAGGAGTATATAAAAGTTCAGCCAACTTTCTCGCGCAAAAACAAGGTATGTACAATATATGCCAGAAGTTATGTATACATGGGACAAGTTTTTCTAGGAAAATGAAATATGACCATCCCCACTGGTTGCTTCATTGGAATCCTACATAATAATATTAATCTAACGATTCAATTTCCCATTCAAAATAAGTTTGACTTAAAGCAATTATAATAAAACTACTAATCATAAATTTTTGATTCTTTTAGTTAAAAGATGAAAATTGAATCAGTGGTTAAAGAAAAATTTAATTGTTAAATAATCACTATTTCATATATAAAAGGTATTTTTATATATAAAATAGTGATTTTTTAACAATTGATTTCTCCTTAACTACTGATCCAATTTTGCTTGTTTTTGATCCTTTTAATTAGAAGAATTCAAATTTATTATTAAATTTGTGATTTAAAATTAAATATTTTAATCATTTTTTCAAAATTTCAATTCTTAATTTTGACTAATTTTTATTAAATAATAATTATAATCATGTATTTTTTCCAAAAAAAATTCCCAATTCTTGGAAATTTTGCACAATTTCAAATTAAATTTGGGTATTGCTAAATATCACCAGTGGTGATTGTCACCACACACTTAATTCTGGCCGAAAATTATAATTTTGGCCAGAGTTAAAAAACACATTGGAAATTTTTTTTCAAAAATTTCAATTTAAATAATAAATGTGTAAAACAAACCCGAGTAGATACTAATCACACTAAAATTTTGAAAATTTGACTAAAAAAAATCTTTTTTAAAACAAAAAATTGTATTTTGCTTATAAAATCAAACTTTTCTATTTTTTTCAAAAACTATCTAAACAACAGCCTTTATAATCTAAGGTAAACATATTTTACCCATAAATTTACATATAGTAATAATATTTACATTATAATTAGAATAATATCTTAGTCAAAAATTTTTGAAAATTCAAAAAAATATTTTACATGTGGTGATGATCACCACTGGTAATATTTAGCAATACCCTTAAATTTTTTACCTTTGAAAATCACCCTTTTTGAATTGAAAACTGTGGTTTGTATTATAAATGTTTATAAAAACTGTTACATTAAGAATTTAAAAAAAACAGGTGACATAAAAAAAATGTTAAATTTCTTTTTTTTAATATATATAACATGTTAAAATAAGATTTAACTTTTATTATCTATTACTTATAGGTGCAATCAGAATTTCTTAATTATGGCATTTTGGCATTATGACATGTCATAAATAATGCTGTAACTGTAATAAAATACTGTAATCAAGGGGAAGTATCTATGTAAATCATTTTTTACTAATGGCAATGGCTAATTGAAAATGATTGACATACAAATTACATGACTGATTCAAACAAACAAAATTCACTTTTTTATTATAAAATTTATAAAATCAATAAAATAAAATTTATAAAATTATATAAGTTTTTTTCTTTTATTGTTTAAAATAATATTTTCATATAATGTGTTTTGCTTCTTTCTCAGCATTATTTTCTAGTCCAATAATTACTGACTTGAAGGAAAAGTTTTCAGTTAAGGCTGCTATTTTTTGAAGTTGAAAGTTCAAAACTATAAAACCTTTAGCATAAAGTTCGTCTATGACTAAGGATGGGCCCTCAAATGATTTTTCAAATCTGCAATATTGCAGATTTTGGAGTCAAATTGCAGTTAGTAATCCGCAATTCCACAATTCTGATTGGCTAATATTTTTAAATAATAAATTATTTTTTAAACGTTTATAATGATAAATAAATAAAAATATTTTTTAAATCAATATAATAAATTTATTTATTTATTTATTTATTTGTTTATCATTCGTCTTAAACATAGACTGATATTTTTCTAAATTGCATAACTGTGCCGTTTCTTAGAAAAAATTCTGGACAATTTTGTCCATTTTTAAAATAAGTCTTCCTGTTATATATATTTTTATCAAGCAACCCTATAAAAAGAAAAGAAATGTTAGTGACGTTTCTTTTTAAAGAAAATTAGCAACAAACATCTTTTTCTTCGGTTCTCCCTTACCTCAATTTCAAAATTCTGGTTGTGTCTTTAATTATTAAACCCTACGAAAAGAAAAAAAAATAAATTAATTAAATTTATCAAAAAAAAATAATGAAAATTTTCCGGTCCTCCCTTACCTCAATCCAGAATTCTGGTCATACTTTTCGTCTAGCAACTCTACAAAAACGAAAAAAAAAATAAATTAGTGAAAATTATTTAAAAAAAGTAACAAAATCCCTTCCCGGTCCTCCCTTATCTCAATTCCAGAAGTTTGGTCATGCTTTTCATTTGGCAACTCTACAAAAATGAAAAAAAAATAAATTAGTTTGAAAATATTAAAAAAAAAAGCAATAAAAACCCTTCCTGGTCCTTCCTTACTTTAATTTCAAAAGTCCAGTCATGCTTTTTTTCCGGCAACTCAACAAAAACAAAAAAAAATAAATTAGTTATTAAAAAAAATAACGAAAACCCTTCCTAGTCTTCCCTTATCTTGAGCTTTTCATCCGGTAACACTACAAAAATGAAAAAAAAATAAATTAAAAAAAAATAACAAAAATTCTTTCCGGTCCTTCTCTTACCTCAATTTCAAAAGTTCGGCCATACTTTTCGTCCGGCAACTCTACAAAATCAAAAAAAAAAAATAAATTTATTAAAAAAACAACTTGCTGTCCAGTTTCTCCTTATCTACATGACTCCATTTTAAAAAGTTCAGTCATAATTTTTGTCTGGAAACTTCAATAAAAAAGAAAAAGAGATCATCAGATGATTTGTATTACGCAATTCATTTGATAATCTGTGTCGGACTGGCAGACTATAATTGGTAAATCTGCAAATCTGCAAATATTCTGCAATTTTGTAAAGTACCGCAATAGGCTCCGGATAATTATAATAGAGGTCATATACAAAATAAGTATAAAATTTTGTATTTTTAATTAAAAGGTTATATGAAAAAAACGTATATTTTAAGAAAATGTTATATGCAAAAATAGTATATTACAAAAATAGGTTATAGTAAAAAAAAGTATAAAATTTTAAATAAAAATTTAAGGTCATATATAAGCTTTATTATAAAAGGGTATATTCGAAAATAAAATGATTAACGTATGCCATAAGTCAAATAATCAAAAAGATATAAATCAATAATCTGCGGATAATCAGTTAATCAGATATTACTTTAATTGTATTAAAAACATGAGTAAAACGCGCATGTTAAATTAATAATAACGCGTATTTTATAATTTGAAAATAGCATCTTTTCTTTCTTTCTTATCATTTAAAATAAAACATCACAGGTGCTTATTTCATTTTCCAATACGTTATAAAAAATGATAATAAAAGTGTTAATGAAAACCTTTTTAATATCAACAAATTTCTTTCCGTAAACCTTCCTCCCAATATTTATACTGTTCAAAATTATGCTTCAGCTATTGATGTATCTAATATTTTTTCCATTACTTTTAATGCTCCTTTTGAAACTCTTCTTCCGTTAGCTAGAATTGATACTGCTGCTGAAAAGATTCTTCATCTTCAATATCCATACTTAACTCCTGCAATAGTTTTTTCTGATGGAAATTGCTTATTAAATTCTCTCTCTTTAATTTTTACTGGAAACCAAACATCTGCATTACAATTTAGATTGGCCATGGTTATAGAATTAATGAAACATGCAGATTTCTATCTTAGTCAAAATTTTTTTGAAGAAGATTATTATTTTTCTGATGCAGCTTTAAATTCAGCTAAAAGTAATTCAAATACACAAGTTACATATAATAAAGAAAAAGAGTATATAAGTGAAATTCTCTATATGTCTAAATCACATCAGTTTTGTTCAATTATTGGAATTTATGGATTAGCATCAGTAATTCAAAGACCAATAATGTCAATATATCCACCAACCATTTTCCAATTGATTAGTACTTTATATCATAAATTAATCGAGCCACGAATTAAAGCTTATGACGAATATATTACAATAATGTGGACATCTTCAAATGGAAAATAGAATATTAATAATCCTTTGCCATAAATGAATCATTTTGTTCTAATTTTTAAATTGAATTCATCATTTCCTTTTGTAAAATCTAAAAAAAAATGAGTGTGAACGCAAATTGGATGTTAAAATGCAAGATTCGCAACTTAACAATGAAGATAGTACAGAAAAGTGTGATGAAAAATATAAAAGTAACAATTTATTGGATGATGATGGTAATGTATTATCAGATGATGGTGATAATGTATCATCAGATGATAATGGTAATATATTATCAGATGATGGTGATAATGTATTATCAGATAATGATAACGATATATTACCATCAATATCATCTGATACATCAGATAACAAAAAAAAACCAAAAAATCAAGTTCATGCTAAGCAAAAACGAATAACCAAATTGGACCAAATTAAGGTAGTTCTATTTATTTTATTTAAATTAAATTTTATTTATTAATTAATTAATTAAAATTTAATTCTACTTAGAATAAAAATTTACAAAGACATCCAATAGTTAATAAAATTATCACTCGTAATAAAGTTCAGCGTAAATGTGGAAAGATTATCAAGTTACACCAAGCTTATAACTCCCAAAATTTGGAAATATATAGTAAAACTGGTAGCTGTTTATTGATAAAAGGAACACATCCACTTACAGATTACTTTACTACGATTACTACAAAATCAGGAAATTCATATGTTAGATTAAGAGAAAAGAAACATGTAAAGTATTTGCAAAGAATTGGTGGAGTTATTCATTATGGTGGTGCACCACGTATTAAAATATTGGGAAAGGAGTTATTTCCAAAAAAATTTAAAAAAAACTTTAGTTGAAAAAGACTAACAAGTAAAGAAACAGCACAATTAGAAAATGAGTTAGCTGCAAGAGCAAAGTGGTATAATGACTTTAGTGCTGGTTGTATTCGAAGTATGGAATGTGAAATTCTAACAGTAAATAAAGAAAATATTTGTAATAAATGTATGGAATTAAATAGTGATAAAAATTTAAAGGTAATTACAAACTTACAATTTTAAAATTTATTAAAAAATTTTACATATTAATTTGTATATTTTATTTAAATTAGAATGTTATTATACGACCAATTCCACAAATAGAGAATCGGAAATTTATACCAAAATATTTGGTTAAAAAGAATCCTATCGTTAAATATTTAAAGGATTCTAGTCTCAATTAGAGATGCGATCCGAAATCCGAAAATTCGGATCATCCGCCAATCCATCCGATCCGAACGGATAATGGATGCATCCGGATGGATTAAGGATATCCGTTTTAATCCGAAACAGCATCCAATGATCGTACAGGGATG